CTGGGCATCGGGTGAAAGATTCGCAATTAAGATAGAACTATACTTAATTGCCTTGCCTGGTTGAGAAATAGGATTTGTAAATGCATTTGAGTTAATATTAATACCATAGACATATAGGTATTAATTTAACTTGAATAGATGCATAAGAACTCGAAAGATTCTTATGAATATTATTAACCCTATAATCAATAACCCGGATAATTCAATAAATCAATCTTAAGCTAAAATAGTAGCATGATCTCTAGCTAGTCCATGACCCTGGAATATCTTTACCCAAATTATTATCAAAATATTGTGTAATTGGTGTAGTAATTTTGTATTGAATTATTATTTAATTACTAAGTAAATTGTAAATTGGTTCTTTATATAGTTTGTCATAATTTAGCTTGAATTGATAATTGTTTGAGTCTACATCAGTCGAGAAGTTAATCATAATTCCTCGTGGGAACGATACTTTACTTACTACTATATTACTTGTCGATCGCGTACACTTGCGTGAGTGTTTTGGTCGCAACAATGTTCCTTATCCGCATCATCAGGAGTTGGTTCCTGCACATGTCGGGAATACTGTTCTTCACGAACCGGGGTCGTCTCATCCCCTTCGTTACAAGTCTCACTAATTGAGTCATCGTGCTGGGACAATTCTTCTCGTTCAACGCTTGCTTCAACATTGTGTGTGTTGTTGACGTCGTTGGCTACCATATCCGGATTTTACTAAGGAAAGAAACAAAACTCGTTACTAACAAACGAACGGACCAAAGCGATTACGCAGTTGTCTATGCCCCACGGTGGGCGCCAAATTATTTATCCGTAAAATGGTACAGTTGAATTTGTAATGTTGGTTGATAGACAAACGAATTGATTTGATCCAAGAACGATAAAAAAATAAGACTAAAGTTAGGATTTAACAATTGAAAAAAAGGAAGGTAACAAGCCTAGTTCCGAACTCAGCCTTTCCGAGAGCAAAAGTAAAAGTAAAGACAAGGCAATGATGGAGTTGTTAAATTGAGAGCTATAATAATAAAACATGAGAGCAAAATAGTAAAGTATAACTTTTGCGTGTAGAATGTTTCATATCCCTACAATGGCTGTTAACTTTACTATTTATAGCTCAACTTAGAGAAACAAGATCCTATGATCAAGCATCTTCTATAAATGAGAATCAAAGTGTCATTGATGAATATATAACAGCAGACCTTGAATGCAAATATTCTCTGTAACGGTTGCTCATTTAACGCTAGCAAATATTCTCTCATTGAATGTTGTTTGATGGCAAACCTTCGAACTTTTACTGCCGACTATGTTCCCTTCGGAATTCACCCAATACCGGTCACACACGTCGTTAATTGTTTCCCATGTAGTCCTTTGCTTATCTTCAATTTCACGTGTCATCTTACCATTCGACCACCTGTTATCGGCCAATTTTACCTCATACATACAATGCTCGGTGTTTGATATAGAATTACAAGGTTAATAACACGTTATATTTGTGTAGGGTAGTCATCATATAGGAAACCCGTATCTACAATCGACGAATTAATTTTGTGTAAGATTTCACTATATATAGCTGGTTTACGTATTTGATTTTGATGCATTGCTATATATGTAAAAAAAAATTGTTTTATGGGATTTGGCTTTTTGATTCGGAACATAAGATGTATATGAAATTGAGTACATATTATAAAAGAGTGTTTGAAGTAATTAACTTTATCCGAAATAAATGACACAATCGAAAGCGAGATCCAGGTTTCTATTTTTGTGGGTAATTTAAGCGATGAGATAACGGTGGGCCAAAAAGAAAGATTATTCTAGTGTTTTCTACTTTAATTAATTACTATAAAAAAAGAAACTTTAATTAATTACTGAAAGCACCGCCCACTTTCGAGAGATTTCTCTCGAGCAACAAGTAACCGTCACTATTTGTGCAACAAAAATACTGAACCGTTGATCTTAAGCAGAACCAGATTTACGGGCCCAAAATGCGCTACTTCAAGGAAGCGGAGAACTATGCCGTAGCACGACGTCGTTTCCATGATATACATCATACGACATCGTACTGTTACAATTCATTTTTTACATATTTTTACATTCCATCCAACGCCTATATAAACAACCCCAGCTTAATCCTCGGAAACACTCAAAACACATCAAAGTCATAAAGAAATCTTCACTTGATAACATACTAAAAAACACTCTTTATTCAAAACTTTCAAGAGCTAGCTTCTTTTTTTCTCATCTCAAATCACTCAAAGAATCCTCATTTCTAAGTTCCAAAAATGGCTCCTAATGTTGTTGGTCTAGCAACCAAGGCTACTGGTTTGGCTAAGGCGGCAAGTTTGTCAAGCCGTGCCTATGTGACGTTCTTGGCAGGTAACGGTGACTACGTGAAAGGCGTGGTCGGTTTGGCTAAAGGATTGAGAAAGGCAAAATCTGCTTATCCGCTTGTTGTGGCTATTTTGCCTGATGTCCCAGAGGAACATCGACGTATACTCATAAACCAAGGTTGTATAGTCCGAGAGATCGAGCCAGTTTATCCTCCAGAGAACCAAACTCAGTTTGCTATGGCTTATTATGTCATCAACTACTCCAAACTCCGTATTTGGGAGGTACATACGAGAACATTCCATCTCTTATGGTCTTTTATTTATATTTGGTGCTAAAATGTTTTTTTGTTAAATGAATAATTGCAGTTTGTGGAGTATAGCAAGATGATATACTTGGATGGAGATATCCAGGTGTTTGATAACATAGACCACCTCTTTGACTTGCCAGATGGCTATTTCTATGGGGTGATGGATTGTTTCTGTGAGAAAACTTGGAGTCACACCCCACAGTACAAGGTTGGGTACTGCCAACAGTGCCCAGATGAGGTCCAGTGGACTGAAGATTTGGGTCCCAAGCCACCACTTTATTTTAATGCTGGCATGTTTGTCTTTGAGCCAAGTCTATCCACTTACGATGATCTCCTGACCACCCTCAAAGTTACCCCTCCTACTCCTTTTGCCGAGCAGGTAATTATACTTTAATAATTTCACGGTCAAAAGGAACTGATCAGGATCTAGAAACAGTGAAAATTCAAATAAGAATATAATTATATATACAATTTTAATTCTTTACGTATGTTTACATAGCTGGATTTATTTTGTAGGATTTGTTGAACATGTTCTTCAGAGATGTATACAAGCCAATTCCAAACAATTACAACTTGGTGTTAGCTATGTTGTGGCGTCACCCAGAGAATGTGGAACTTGAGAAGGTGAAAGTTGTTCACTATTGTGCGGCGGGGTCAAAGCCGTGGAGGTACACTGGCGAGGAAGAGAACATGGACAGAGAAGACATTAAGATGCTGGTGAAGAAATGGTGGGATATATACAATGATGAGTCATTGGATTACAAGAATGCTAATGTTACTGCAGTGGATGCTGAAGCTGACAAATTTAAGGCAGCGCTTACTAAGGCGGGTGTTGTGCACTATATAACTGCCCCATCGGCCGCTTAGTATATTGCTTTGAAGTTGTCTTAGTCTTTTTTGTTTGTTTATTAAACTTTGGGTATTTCACAGGGTCGAAAGAAAGTTATAGAGATATATATTATAAGGGTCGGGGGTTTACAGACTGCTTTTCTTCGCCTGCAACAGACAAAGGTTGTCTGCAGAATAGGAGAACTGGGAATTTTGTGAAGTTCTTCTACAACTTGCGGGTTTTGAGTGTCTTTTTTATTCTTCTTTTGTTTTCGTCGATGTTGGAAAAGTACATAAATGAAATACGTATTTACTTTAATACTTATTTTGGTACCGGTTTCAGTAATGGCCTCGCAACAATGTTGTTTTGATATGATATCAATTCATGTTACTTGATGAAAGAGTAGTAAAAGAAATGATATTGACTTTGTACAGAATTCTTGTTCTCTCGAATGAGATATCTTTCCTTACAGGTTTATGGATTCATTTTCATTTTAACTTTTATGTGGTAATTTTTATACATTTATCCAAAATATTTTCTTAAGGTGGTGATGTTGTTTATTAGAGCACAAGTTAACTAACTATGCTTTGACCACTTCTTTGACCAGTAGTTAAGATTTTGTTAGTCCTTTATTTTCTCAAATAAATCTCCTAATTTGTTCAGCAAGTAGTTTAGTCCTTCTCGAGGAGTTAGTTTAGGAAATTGATTTTTCACTCTTGTATTTAAAGGTTGCATTGATTCAATAAACAAATTAGCTTTTTGTGCTTTACTCTGGTATCAGAGTCTTAACAAACTCTAGCGAGCAAGATCCTATAGTTTTTTCTCTCCCACTCACCCTCCACAAATGGTCAAGACTGCTAGAGTTGTTAATGCTGATAAGAATATTGGTGCGATGGTCATCCAATTTAATCCTACATCACAATTGCCAATAAAATTACATAGCATTCAAAACTTTGCAACTTGGAAGGCTCAATTTTTCATGCTTAAGCATGTTCATGATCTTTATGGTCATCTGAATGGGTTACCTTTTTTTTCTTTTGATTATTTTCATTCCTTTCTAAACTCTTTATGTAAGAAGGGTGTTTCTCTCTATGTGAATTGGAGTGATGATCTCATCCCAAGGACTAAAATTCTCCAACCTTTACTCTAAACGGAATGTAACTTAATTCAATAACTTTATTGTAAATAACGGTAGAAAAAAAACGTACTTTAATTTTAAGGTTTCGTGTTGACTGTGTTCTCTCGTCCATCAAATAGTTGAATTATCAAAGTAAAATCCATATTTTTATAAAAGGACACAATAATTTAGCCAAATTTAGAGTACAGGACAATAGAAGTCAAACTTAAGTTTGAGACAAGAATTATTTGTTAGAATATACCTGAAAATCAAATTGAAATATTGAAACGATGTTTCTGTCATCAATTTGGGGAATGTTTCTACGCCTAAACTTATTTAAGTGGATGTGAATTTTTTTATTGAAAAATTTTCAGTAATCATTCTTCAATTTCGCTCATAAATAAAACTTAGATATGACATTTACATGGTCTTATTTCAATTTCTCGGCAAAAGACTAATAATTTCACATGATAAAATTTCTAAAAACTATCCTGCGTCGTCTTAATAATTAGATATAAGTTTTATTAACACAAATCTACTCCTCGTTTCATGCGACATCACTTGTATGGAGCTGATCGATCTTGTCCATGATGAGAATGCGTGGAGTAACATCTTCTTTGCAGTATTTTTAATATCAAGGAAAATCGACGATAACAATGGTCCCAATGGGTTTGGATGTGATTTCAACATTACAATACTTGTCTTTCTAAGGTTAATGAAAAAATATTTTAGTAATTGCTTAAAGTTTTTATCTAGGTACTATGATATACGGAGTAATTCTTGTTAAAAAAAGGCGTAATATAAACAGAATTTAATCCGTACGAGAGCAAACACATGATGTAATATGCAAAATAGTGACAGGTAGAGTTTGAGAAGATTTTTTGAATACCTGCAAAATAATGACAGGTAAAGTTTGAGAAGATTTTTTGTATACTAGCAAAAAAAAACTATTGTCAATTACTATACGACCATATATATTCTGTGTTCTGTATTAGTATGATCGTCTATAAAGAATATTCAGTGTTATCGTCAAGACCCTAATTTCGAATAACGTATAGGAGAAAAGCAATACAAAAAACAGTAGCCCCAACAACTACAAACCGAACCCAAAAGTGGGCTATAAATGCTTTCATGACTACGACATTCCACAACTAGAGCCAGAAAATGGAAAAACAGAATCCTATTACAGCACCCACTGCTACTTGGTTTAATGTGTGAAGTTGTTGTGAAACTCGTAGCCACGACTGTAAAGTGAAAGACAAGGAAACTTGTGTTATTTTCAACACCATTTTTAGATTGAACAGCCATATATGCAGAAAAATCGCTAAAAGGTGCAACTCGATCCACACTTACAAAGTACGAGCCCATTACTAAGATAAACGCACTAACAACTGCAGTTATTCCATTCAATCCGAAATATTGAATCACTGCGTCAAACAACAAAGTGAGAACAAAAAATGAATTATCTCGTAAGCTCAAAACCGTAATTCTACAGGAAATCCAAGAAGAGATGACGAGAAAACTCAAAATATAACAAGGCCTAGCTAGATTACCAATGTACGTTCTCCTTTATTGTGCCGACAACAATATTGTTTGATGATACATGTAAGTAGATTATATGATAACTGAATCTTCCAACCAGAGCACTTGAGAAAATGAACACACGAGTAATACTAGGCTGATTATTCAAGAACGTCCAAAAAAGTAATCTTAGTACATCAATTCCTCATCATGATAACATACAAATATCACATTTATAAGGGAAGAAAAAGAGTGAAACTTGAGCAGGCTACCTGTTCTTTTCAAGCCATGCGTTTCTCATGGTCAACAAAAAAATCTTAGCATCTTATTGATATTAGACGATTAATTACAAAGAGATTTACTTCCGATATACTCTTCACATTTAAAATACAAAACAAAAGTTGAAAAACAACTGCAGCAACTACTTCTTTAGCTTGTGCCTCTTTCACTTTCTTAGCCCTTTCCCTAGTGTATCGTTAAGCCATACAAATATACATATAACCACAAGAGGTAACAGTAATTAATTTTACTCTTTTAGCTGACATCTTCAGGTTTTAGTGGTAGTCCTTTAGTTTTTTAGTTACATATTCAAATTTGAAAGCAATGATTCAAGAGAACCAATAATGGTGGAACTGGAACGATATATATTCACACGGATGAAGAATCATCAAAAGACAAAGTAAATTTATGCATTTGATCAATTAGTATGAGAAGCTTACTTGAGTGGATACAGAATGTGAGTGTGTAGAAGATGTAGTGGGCATGTGAAGAAGGCATTCCAGGGTCTGATCTTAATGTTGAAACAGGGCGTTCTTGGTTAAGTATCCTCTTCAGTACAATTGAGAGACAAATATTGATAATTCCACCTGAAGTAGCCCATACTGCTTCCATGTCATGCTTCCAAAAGAAGATAATACCGAAAACTGCAGCAATCAGCCACTTACTCTGTACTTTAGGCCTACTAAGCATTAGAAATCTTAACAACACCAAGACTTCAAAAGCAATTCAAAGAGCTGGACATAACTAGTGACAGACTTTGCTAATAAATTTGATCAAATAATGTACAGCGCAAGTCGCAAAACATTCAGGTCTGCTGGACCAACATGATATTGTGAGGAAGTATTTCCTCCACTAATCAGATTGAGAGAAAAAAAAAGGGGTGTTAAATAGAAATAGCACTATCCAAACTTTTCAATTTTGATATATAGTTATACAACAAAATTACAATACTTGTGGAAGCTAATATTTTTTGTTTAAACCGAAACAGAGAGGAAGATAACTTGAAAAAAATGAGTTTAACCAGAGCACTCGCAGATGGAAATTCAAACATTCATTATTTATCTTCATTAAAAATCAGTATAAGTAGCTCTCTTTTGAGAACCAGGGACTTGCAGTGAAAATGAATAACAAGATTTCTGCAAATGCAACAATTTATCAGTTCCAACTAAGCAGGACATAAAAATTGAAAAATTACAACAAACAATCTGTAAAGTAAACGTGGAGCTTGGCGTTAGCTATTATAAATCAAGTTTTACATAAGATATATATAAATTTTTTCCCGTAATCATTCCCGTACAGCCAATAGACTAGCAAGTTATTCCCCTAGCAAATTAGCTTTCCGCTCCAACAATTCNATAATTGAGGGACGAGAGTGGTTTACTCCTTAAATTTAAGGGACTATTCTAATTATTTTCTCTGATTCCTTTCATTCCAATTTTTCGCATTAAGCTTCAATAACTTTTATCAATAACATTATTTATCGAAGATGTTATAATTTTCAGATATTAAAATTTATTTTAAGTTCTATCAAGCTATTAAGCTAACTTTTTTGAATTGTTACTTTAATATTTCCTCGACTGTCAATAACGCAAGAAATAAATATGTCTACGATAATATTGAAAAGAGGATTGCAATTTTTAAGGTCGAAACCCATTTCTTGCATAACACAGATAGATGCCATTTCATGGATGGCGTTTAAATAAATTATGAAAATTGACTATCTATAGTGAGGAGGAGCAGGAGGAGGAGGAGGAGGAGAAGAAAGAAAGAAGAATGACCATCTATGGCATTTGGGTAAAGGTGAAGAACATGATTATGTGGTTTGAATCAGAATTTGGAAATAATAGTTACCAAAGATGACCCCAAATGCATTATTTTGACGAGAATTCCAAATTATTTGGCAATGTGTGCTCCATTTTTGGTTGAACATATGTTATATGTCATCTCAGCGAATTGTAACTAAACATAAAAAAAATGTAAGTAGTTCTTTTTGTACGAACTAAAAAGAAAAAAATATCACATAAATTGAGATAAATTGAATATTAATTAACTTCGGTCAAGTGAAAGAAGTATATTAGCAAATACTACATTTTATGTATTTATTAGTGTTGAATAAACACCCAATGCCAATATATTTTGGGAAAAAAGACCAAAATTGTCCCTATACTATCGAAAATTAGTCATGTTTATATACGTTTCTACTTTCGGTCCAAATATACACCTATCGTTATTAAAGTGTACAAAATCGTCCCCAACCCTAACAGATTTTCAACGTGGCATCGGGACCCATAATAATTTGCCAACCGGGCAAATACCTACCCGAATTTCATTTTTTTGACCCAACTATCCAACTACTTTATGGGTCCCACCTCTCTCTCTCTCTTAATTCAACCGACAACATTTCTTCTTCCTCCTCAGTTTTTCTTTTCCGGTTCTTGTTCTTCCTTTGTTTTTTCTTTTTTTTTTTCCTCTTTCATTTTGGAGCTGTTGAGTTTCTTTTTAAGATGAAAAAGTCTTAAAAAGAGGGTGAATGAGAAATGGAGGGAAAATAAAATTTTTGAGTGAAATGTTAAGTTTCGCTCTCTTGACAATGAGACATTGTCCCATATTGGAAGATGAAAAGGCTTTTGGTGAGTATATATACAATTGCTCTTCTTGTATCTCTTAAAGAGTTAAGAAGAAGGCAAACCTCGCGCCATCATCGTCTCGCTCGCTCGGCTCGGCTTCAGCTACGGCTACGGCTTCGGATTCGGATTCGGATTCGGATTTGGTCAAATGATCGATCTATTGATTAATTTTTTGGACCAAATTTATTTGTTAATAGTGAATATTAACATAATATTATTCGTGTTTGTAACAGATGTTTTCCAATCCGTGGATATAACTAAGTGTTCCAGCAGCCTAGTGCTTCTCCCACCATGGCCAAGTATTTGCTCCATAATAGCAAGTGCTCCAAGTGATTGCTCCAATAGCAGCCTAGTGCATGCTCCACCATGGGCAAATGAATGATATCAGGTCCGTTTCTCATCAGCTGGTTGCACTATAAATATGTGTAGCAGCTTGTTGAAAATATACGAATGGACAGAAATGGAATTGAGAGCAATCTGCCTGTTGTTGATCTCCTCTTCAGTTAAAACTCAACGTTGTCTATAAATTGCAGTCCTTCCTCTCAGAATTTCCATTCGACTTCTGAGTTCTCCTCCTTTGTTTTGCATTGTTTTTAAACTTCAAAAACAAAGCAACCGTAAGTGTGATTTGCTACCGAACTTTGTGTTCACTGAAACACTAGGGTTTGAAGTACCGCTACACCAGTGTGTAATTCGTTCTATCCTGGGAGGAAATAATCCATAACCTTGGGTACGAGGAGGTGATTAAATTCCTTAAGGAAATACTGTGAATTCAGTGAACTCGAATTAATTACTGTTTTATTTATATTTACGTTTATATGCTAACTTTCTTTTCTCCAGAATTATTATTTACAGATACAACAAGTAAGAAGATACAACTAACAAGCTTAAGGAATTTAATCTTTATTTCTGTATTTGTGGTATACTTACTGCTGTAGAGGCTAAAATCTTTGTGGTTTTGTCTACTCCCATTTTTGGAGATTAAATTCTTCATGGCGTTTTGTTGGAGAATTACAATTATGAAGACTAAAACCTTTGTGGTTTCGTCTACTCCCATTTTGGAGATTAAAGCCTCAGTGGCGTTTTGTTTAAGATTAAAATCTACGTGATTTTTTACTCCAGTTTTAAAGCTTTCGTGGCGGTTTGTTGGAGATTAAAATCTACGTGATTTTTTACTCCAGTTTTAAAGCTTTCGTGGCGGTTTGTTGGAGATTAAAATCTACGTGATTTTTACTCCAGTTTAAAAACCTTCGTGGTGGTTTGTTGGAGATTAAAATCTACGTGATTTTTTCACTCCAAGTTTAAACGTTTGTTTTTGTCATTCTTTTACAGAAAAAAGATGAATGACAACGGAAACCAAACTGGTCTGATGGTGACTGCCAATGCATCGACATGGTTTCTGAAGAAGGGTCAAGCAAACATGATTGAAAAACACGTAGACATTGATGACTTGTGTGCTATGAAGTGGTGGATTGATTCTGGAGCCACTCGCCATGTTTGTGCTGTGAGGAAAGTATTTTCTACATATGCTTCTGTTGGACCCGAAGAGACGCTTTCTATAGGAAATGCTGCAACAACAGAAATTGAAGGATATGAGAAGATATTTCTCAAAATGACTTTTAGCAAGGTCATGACTTTGAACAACGCCATTCATGTTCCCTAAATTAGGAAGAACATAGTCTCTACTGGACTTTTTATAAAGCACAGTTTCAAGTGCGTTTTTGTATCCGACAAGGTGGTGATAAGTGAGAACGAAATGTTTGTAGGAAAAGGTTACCTTACTGAGGGCCTTTTCAAGCTGAATGTAATAGTTGTCAATAATAATAATAAAACATCAGCTTCTTCTTACTTACTGGAGTCAAATGATTTATGACATGTACGTTTGGGTCATGTCAATTATAAAACCTTGCGAAAAATGATTAACTTGAAAATATTACCTAAGTTTGAATGGGAAAAATCAAATGTCAAATATGTGTGGAATCTAAGTATGTTAAACATCCTTATAAGTCGGTTGAAAGGAATTCAAATCCGTTAGACTTAATTCACATAGATATTTGTGACATGAAGTCAATATCAACTTGCGGTGGAAAGAAGTATTTCATAACTTTTATTGACGACAATACTCGATGTTGCTATGTTTACTTACTTAATAGTAAAGATGAAGCAATAGACGCATTCAGGCAATATAAAAATGAAGTTGAAACACAACTTAACAAGAAAGTCAAAATGAAGTGATTGGGGTGGTGAATATGAATCTCCTTTTGAAGAAATATGTCTAGAATATGGAATTATTCATCAAACAACAGCCCTTTACATGCCCCAATCCAATGGGATTGCGGAAAGAAAGAATCGTTCATTAAAGGAGATGATGAACACATTGTTGATAAGTTCTGGTTTGCCACCGAACTTGTGGGGGGAAGCCGTTCTTACGGCTATCCGGATACTAAATCGAGTACCTCATAGCAAAACACAATCCATTCTATATGAAAAATGGAAAGGAAGGAAGCCAAACTTGAATTATTTGAAAGTGTGGGGGTGTTTGGCAAAAGTGCAAGTTCCTAAACCCAAAAGGGTAAAAATAAAACCGAAAACAGTTGATTGTGTTTTCATAGGATATGCGACCAATAATAAAGCATATCGATTTCTGATTCATAAATCAGAAAATCCCGACATTCACAATAATACGATTATAGAATAAGATAATGCTAAGTTCTTTGAAAATATATATCCGTATAAAAAGGAATGTGAGTCGTTTGGTGAAGGATCTAAACGACCTCGGGAAGAAACAAAAGAAAGTAAATTTAATCAGGAGGATCCAAGGCGTAGTAAACGTCAAAGAACGTCTACTTCGTTTGGACCAAATTTTGTGACTTTTTTATTGGAAAATGAGCATCAAACATTTAAAGAAGCTATGTCTTCTTTGGAATTATTGTTCTGGAAAGAGGCAGTCAATAGTGAAATAGAATTTATATTGAACAACCATACATGGGAATTGGTTGATCTTCCTCCTAGAAATAAACCTTTGGGTTCTAAATGGATTTTTAAAAGAAAAATGAAAGATGATGGCACTATTGATAAATTTAAGGCAAGACTTATTGTCAAAGGGTATAGACAACGAAAAGGTCTTGACTACTTTGATACATATTCTCCAGTGACGACAATTACGTCTATACGAATGCTAGTAGCTATAGCTGCAGTTTATGGTCTTGAAATTCATCAAATGGACGTAAAGACAACCTTCTTAAAGGGAGATTTGGAGGAAGAAATCTACATGGAACAACCTAAAGGGTTTGTGGTTCAAGGTAAAGAAAAGAAGGTATGTAGACTTGTTAAGTCCCTCTACGGACTAAAACAAGCACCCAAACAATGGCATGCAAAATTTGACCAAACAATGTTGGCAAATGGTTTTAAGATAAATGAATGTGATAAATGGGTGTACATTAAAAATTTTCCAAATCACATATTCATTGTTTGCCTATATGTGGATGATATGCTGATGATGAATAATGACATTTCCAACATAAATGCGACTAAGCGTATGCTAACTAGCAAGTTTGATATGAAGAACTTGAGAGTTGCGGATTTAGTACTGAGGATTAAGATCCAAAAGATTCCTCAAGGTCTGGCATTGTCACAATCTCATTATATTAAGACAGTACTTAAAAAATTCAAGCACTTAAGATTTAAAGTTGCAAAGATTCCAATTAACGTGAATCTTG